CCATATGGTTTTTTTTTTTACCAGAAAAAATTAAAAAATAATAGTTGTATATAAACGAGCATAATTGGCGACATTAGTGTAATCAATACGAGGCAATTTGTAACAGTAGGTTCTTAATTAGATATTTGATACTTATCGTCCATGATCTTTTCATTTTACTCAAGGAAAAATAAATAAATAAATTTTGAAAATAGGAAAAGGGAAGAGATAACTCTTGAAATTCTGAAGTTTTAAGCCACAAGCAATATTGATTACTAAGCAAACAAATCTCAATTTTACAAAATACAAAATTTTGCTTAAAATTATAATAATTTTTAGAAAATTACATTATTTTTTAATATTTAAGATGTCACCTGCCATCCTTAAGATTCGCCTGTTATATCATAATAAATTTTCAAACTCATATCAATTATCATATTATAAATCTGATAGATAAATTTATATAATTAAGAACTAATAATATTATTAGTTTTGAATTATGATTGGTAGATTATTTATTTTTTTATTTATAGAGGTACATATACTTGTTTTTAATTATATATAATGTTAATTTCAAATTGAACATGATAAAAAGATGACTAATTTGATATGTAATATATAATAAATAGATAATAAAACGAAAAAAAATCTTAACTTTTAAAATATATTTATAATCAAAACTGACCAAAGTGTTTCATGTTGAAAAAATAATAAATATTAATAAAAATCCAGATCTATATAATCTAAACACCTACATATAAAATTATAAATAAGTGACACATAAAATTACGAATGATAAAGACTGAAATTGATATTGCCTCTATTTGTATATATAATTTTGAAAGAAAAAGTACATTGTATATTCAATTTAAAACAATTACCCAATTTAAATTATGTGCAATTATTTTGTGGTCGAATTTTTAGANAATATATATATATATATATATATATATATATATATATTAGTTTCTTATTTATTTTTTTGCATCATATAACTTATTTTCCCAAAATTAGGTGTAAAACAAGAGAAGAGTCGTGTAGAATATTACATGATTGTTTATCAATTATTTCACTCACTTTTAATTCATACTCAAAATCTAACTCAACTTTAACTTAACTCTACTATCTTTAAGTATTATTCATATAATTAATAAATACAACTCAATCATTCTTACACGTCACATCAACTTTAATTCACTATTCACAAACTCACATAATTTTAACTACCTATCATTTTCAATCATTTTAATTATTTATCTCATACTTTTACATCAAATCAATTTTAGTCATTTTATTTTAAATATTATTTTAATACATTTTTAAAATCCACTAACAACTAACCATACTACCGTTTTTAAAATTAGCTCTAATTAACCAAAATAACTCATTTTGGATAAATTATTTTATAAACCATGGTTTAAGAAAAAAAAAAGACATATATAAGTCTGCGCTCAACTGCGTGTATTGTGTGTGTATGACATGTACCTTCTCTTCGGGCATGGGATTTTTGGTATTGTTTACCAATAAAGAGGCTCTAATGGCGTGAACCCACCGAGAAATCCACACACGTTTCGAATTTCTTCACCCCTAAATTTCGGAATTTAGCAACAAATTTAGCAATCGATTTTTTTTTTTTCCCAGTTTAATTGAATAAAAATGCGTGCATCTCCCACCGCCTGTACGCCATTGTCGAAATTCTGAAGCTCTGTGATTGAGTTTCACCGATTTTCAGTGTGGGCATTTTCAGTGTTTTGTTCGATCCGTTTTTTCTGGTGAATTCTCGTTTTTTGTCGGATTTTTTCGATCATCAGGGGAGAGAGAGAGAAGAGAGATAGAGTGATGGAGGAGAGCAGGCTGTGCCAGTGGAGTGTGATTCGATCCGTACTGGCTATTGTCCAGTGGTGGGGTTTCAATGTCACTGTCATCATCATGAACAAATGGATATTTCAGGTTCGTCTCTTGAAGTTGAGTTACATATATTGCAAGCGTGAAATGTGTGAGATAGTTCATTTGGGAGATTTTTTCTGGGTTTGTATATTGATGGGTTTTTTCTGGATTTTTTTGATTTTCCGTTCAAGAGGTCGATCTTTTTGTGTGTGTGTGTGTTGAAGTCTCGCCGAGGTTCAGCTGGAATTTTATGGTTGTCAATCTGAATTGTGTTTCAGAATTTACACAAAATGTGACTTTTGAGATGATTTTTCGAACCGTCAAATAAGTTTACTGCCCTTAGTTTGTTTATGTTGTATAGTTCCAATATAAATGTTTTCATTTGTGAGAAAGAATCACATGTTGAATTTGTGTTCCTGAGATTTTGTCGTTGAATAAGAAATGAAACATCGTTGAGTATTCATTTCTTGCATTCTTAAACTCTGTCGTGAACTTGAATCAGAAATGTAACAGCGAGTATTCATTTCTCGCATTCTTTACTCTTGCTTCTTGCAAATGAGTAATGAGTCTAATGACTATAGTCTTATTTGTTTGCTCTTTGCGGAATGTGATTTTTTTAGAAAATTTAGAAACATGGTCTTATGGATTCTTTTGCTGACTGAGAAAATCTTGGATGGCTTATGCTCATTATTACCGATGATAGATTCTTTTGCGGAATGGTTTTTTTGTTGACTGAGAAATTCTCAGTTTAATGATTGTTCTGTAACTTGAATTGTGCATACTATTTGAGTTTTTCAACTTTCATTGCTCTCAAGTTATACAAATGGTGAATAGTGTGTAATGTTTTGATATGAGGTTAGTGATGTTGTTTTTAGAAATCTTTCTTTTGACAACTGTTGTTCTGGTGATCTTGACAGAAACTGGACTTCAAGTTCCCATTGACTGTGTCGTGTGTTCACTTCATATCATCGGCCATAGGTGCTTATTTGGTGATTAAAGTTCTGAAACTGAAGCCACTTATCTCAGTCAATCCTGAAGATCGATGGAGGAGGATATTTCCCATGTCGTTTATATTTTGTATCAACATAGTTTTGGGAAATGTGAGCCTGCGGTATATTCCTGTTTCTTTCATGCAAACCATCAAGTCTTTTACCCCTGCAACAACAGGTAAGTTTTGCTTAAAATCACGTGTCAAAGGTGTTTTAGGGTGTTGTTCTTGCTGTAAATTGTTTTGCCATTTCGTGTTGGTATTTGTGTTTAATTGACATTCAGAGTAATTACAAAATGAAAAAAAAAATGGAGAAGTTAAAAAATTCGAGTGTATCCCTTTGGATTTGAATGTACCTTAATTTAAGGGGTCAACTGTGTTGTTTTCCGGATGATTTGTTCTTTAAATTTATAAGAAAATAAAATCCAGAAAACCATTTTTAAATATTAATTTAAAAAGCATCCAAGGGGGAAAACATTAAAAGAATCAAACCTCAAGAAATTCCGTTTTTCTTTTAATTCAAAACTTATTTTTATTCTTTTGCAAATACTCGTTACCATAGAGGTGGGTTCTTTAACTATCACTTGACACTTATTGATAAAATGCTTCTGTTTGTTTCTCTTTTTCTTGAAACAGTTATCCTGCAGTGGCTAATCTGGAAAAAGTACTTTGACTGGCGGATTTGGGCTTCTCTAATTCCTATTGTTGGTGGGATTCTACTCACTTCTATCACAGAACTGAGTTTTAACATGCTCGGATTTTGTGCTGCTTTGTTCGGCTGTCTTGCAACGTCCACGAAAACAATTCTTGCAGAGTCTCTGTTGCATGGATACAAATTCGACAGGTAATTTGTGACTCTTAGAAGTTTTGAGCAGTGATGGTAGAAAAGCACTTTATTTCTATATTTATTCTATCATTAATACTACTAATATGATTCAGATTTTTATGTTTCTTGTGAATGAGTCGATATATGCATTAGTTAGGAAGTAGGATTTTACCAAGTATGTTATTATGAAGGTAGATTTTATCTTTTTCTCTTTTTGTTCTAATACAAAACCTGTTCCCCAAGGTGTAGAAAGATATAGCGTTTTTGTGAAGTGAGTAAAAAGTGTGAGGACTTATTTGTAATTTTGACGCATGCTCCCAAATTTGAATTAGTACTTTCTCTGGGTTTTGTATGTTTTTTAAAAGCAGTTGTGCCATTGATCCTCCCAACTATCTTACTGTAAAGAAAAATAGATATAATTTATCGTTCATTCTTCTTATCATTTTTTTCTTTCGGGAAAAAAAAGGATAAATCATATATATTCTAATACCAAATCAATCTATTTTTGTGTGGTGTACAGTATAAATACCGTATACTACATGGCCCCATTCGCAACCATGATCTTAGCTGTGCCAGCATTGCTTCTTGAAGGATCAGGTGTTATCAGATGGCTTTATACGTGCCCTTCTCTTTTCTCCTCTCTCCTCATCATATTCGGCTCTGGCGTAATGGCCTTTTGCCTCAATTTCTCCATCTTTTACGTTATCCACTCGACAACTGCTGTTACCTTCAATGTTGCTGGAAATCTTAAGGTGTTTTTTCTCTCTCATTATCGTACATTAATGTTAAATTTAACGAAATATATTCTTCTTCGACAATTGTTAGGAGGAAAGAAGACCAGTTATAACAATATATACCAAAATAATACATTAATGTCTCTTTTTTATATTTTTTCTTGCATTTAGTTTCTGATGCTATCTTGAAAAATAATAAATAAAACATATAACTAATTTCTGATTTCAATGCTTTTCGTTGTATATATATATAAGGTTGCTGTGGCTGTTACATGCTCGTGGCTGATTTTTCGAAACCCGATTTCCATGATGAATGCGGTTGGGTGTGGTATAACTTTAGTCGGGTGTACCTACTATGGTTACGTGAGGCATATTCTATCACAGCAAGTGCTCGGGACTCCTCATACACCGCGGACCCCACGCAGCAAAATCGAGCTCATTCCTCTGGTTAATGACAAATTAGACAACAAAGTTTGAGGAGTTTTTTTTTTCTCACTCTATAAATAGGTATCTTTTACTTTTTACTGTAGAAAAGGAGAAGCTTTTTACTGTGGGAATTATGTATTTTATTTTTCTTGTTTTTCTATCTTTTAATTTAGTTCATAGTTATGAGCATTTGGTTCTTGTTCCAGTGAGATGGATGTTAGGTGATGAAATTTTTTATCTTATTTTTCTATCTTTTATCTTTAGCCACTTCTAGTTCTGGTGTATACTTTTTCCCCACCTTCCGGCTTTCGTGTTAAGAAGATGTGCCTAATAATATAATATAATAACTATATATACAATACATACATATTTTATATATATTAAGTATAATGGGCCTGGGTGCCCCTCATTTCATTTGGGCCCTGGGCTGTCGCCCTGCCTGCCTGGGCCGGCTCTGGCTGGAATGAAGACGCCTCGTCGCTCGCCGAGTCTTTCTCTGTGTCGTTGCCTTGCAGCTCCTGGTCCCCTCTCCTTCTGTCGTCGTCTCAGGTGCTACGCCTACCGCCGCCGCTGCCGCTCCCCGTGCTAGCGCCTGCCACCTCCACTACTGCTAGGGTTGACAGATTAGGTCTTTTGGAAAGATTTGAGAAAATGCATTTTGACGTTGGGTTTATACAAAAATCGTATTTTGAAGTGTCATAAAGTAATTATACTTTAATGTAAATATTTCAATATTAGTAAAACTTGTGACATTCTCTAAATATGTGTTACTATTTTAGTACAGTTTTCAAAATGTGTCGCTATATAACTAAACATGACGACACTTTTGTATAAAACATAATAATTTAATTACACTTTGAAATAAATGTCTTAATATTAGTTAACATGGTGACATATTTTAAAAAGTGACATAATTCGATTACATTTCTAAAAAAGCGTTGTTATAACTTTATCTTTGTAACGCTTTTTAAAAAGCGTTGCAAATACATCAATTTTAACTACATTTATTAAAAACGTCAAAATAATTATACTGCTAGAACTCTTTTTTGTTGTAGTGTATATTATAAATAAATATATATTTACAATTATAATAAGTATTAAATTACCTATCGATATTAATTGAAAAATAGTAAAATAATTTACAATATAAAAGAGATAAGTCGTACAAGTAACGATTATTAATTTAAATATATATAATGTATTTTTAAATATTATTCAAAAACTTAGGTTTTTTGTTTTCAAAATTTAGAGATAAATATTTTTTATTATCACCCATGTAATACTCAAGCGAGTGTTAGTACCACACAAGTGTTAATTAGTACTCTACTAGTATGGTTTATTTATAAGATTATTTTTATATAATTTACTTTAATTTTTTAATAAGTTCTGTCAGATAATTATAATATCAAGATATATAACAATAGAAAATATAGAAAAAGAGAGTACAGAACTCTCAATTATACATATACAAGATAACGATATAGCCTTCGTTGTAAACTGACTAGGACAAAACAATTCTTATACGTACAGTTAATTAGTACGTGCGACAGCTTTAAATATTTTTGTTAATTTAATTATTTGGACCATTTCAACAATGTTGCATGCATTCAATTTATTACCACTATATATGCCTATAGTCAATCAATTATTAATACTATAGGTAAAAATACCAACTAGTTGCATTAATCCATTCGCGTTACCACATTTTTCAAGGCATGATTACGTTATACGTACATACTTTGTTGGAATTAATATTATATGAAAATCATCTATTCAAGAACTTTATATTGAATAATAAAAAGTTATAAGTAGATAACACAAAACTTATTTTAAATACAGATTTAAACCTTATGAATTCAACATATATCGAGCAGGGCCAAATAACATTCAACGTCCTCTTTGATGCGGGCCCGCTCAAAAGGTTCCCAATCGAGTACGCAAGGACGAAGGATCGGTTTCGAGTTGAGGCGTTGAAACGTCGTAACCTCGTCCATGTTAAACACCGGAAACGGGACGTTATGTTGTTGAGCAAGGTTCGGTTTTGCGGATGCCGGGGTAGTGTTGGAGCTCGTAGAAGCCCGTCTTTGGATGGTGCCGTTTTCTTCGAATTAGCTGTAGCTCTTGGCATGTTGTTTCGTTGGAGCAATTCGTCGAACACTTTGTATGCGGGGATTATAGGTGAGGGCTTGTGAACGATTTGTAATTGGTTGGTCCTAGAGTAGGCCTCCTCTCGCCACACACGTCAATAATTCGCAGAGAGGGTAAGTCAACCGTACCTTTGAAAGTGAATTCGAGTCGAATTGGAGTGGGTCTCGTCGAGCTAGGGTTGGGAAAGCACGGTGAGGTAAGCAATGGGGATGTCCAACGCAGATGAGAGATGACCAGAGTGTTGTTGTCGGAGCTTGTTGACTGGAGACTGGTCGTCGGTGTGCAGTCTCCGGATAGTGAGGTGAGATGTTGCGGAAATTGTGGTTGCGGGGGTTGTGCGGTTAGTTGGACTCGGTGGTGCGAGGAGATGATGAGTGGGGGTTATTGGTCCGGGATCGTCGCCGCGGTGAATCGCCGGAGTTCTGCTACCGGAGACGGTGGTCGGGAGTTGGTGGTTGTTCGGTCGTCGCCTGAGAGAGGAGAAAGATGAGGGATGAGTGAAATGAGAAGAAAAGGTCGGTTTTTTTTTTTTTAAGACTCTAGCGGGCGCTAGGGCGGACTAGCGGCGCTATGGTCAATAAAACCCGAGCCTCTGAAGCCCGCTAGCCGGTCTAACGGCGCTGCGAAATCCGACACTAGCGGCGCAAGTACCTGCTTCCATTTTTTTTTTAATGATTAATAAACAAATACAGCTGTACAATTGCTCGATTTATTGCCGGGAGCTCGGAACACTCGCGATCATGTGTATTGTGGCTCGTCGGATCCACGGTCTCGACGTGCTTCTTCTCGATTTCCCCTCCAAAATAAGGCTTGATCCTTTGTCCGTTTACAACAAATAATTCACCAATAGACGGGTTCCGAAGTCGGACGGCCCCGAAAGACAATACTTCATCAACAAGAAACGGGCCACTCCACCGGGACTTAAGTTTTCCCAGAAATAGACGAAGTCGGGAATTAAAGAGGAGCACTTGCATGCCCGGTACCAACTCCTTCCGGATAATCCGAGCGTCGTGGAGTCGTTTGATCTTGTCCTTGTAAATTTTCGAATTTGCATACGCCTCGTTTCTCAATTCTTCGAGTTCCGAGAGTTGCAAAATTCGCTCTCTTCCGGCGGTATCAAGATCAAAGTTCATTTTCTTTATTGCCCAAAACGCCTTGTGCTCGATCTCAACCGGGAGGTGGCACGCTTTTCTGTAGACGAGCCGGAACGGGCTCATCCCCAAAACTCCTTTGTACACTGTCCGTTGGGCCCATAACGCATCGTCAAGTCGACTCGACCAATCCTTCCGGGACGAGTTAACTGTTTTCTCCAAAATAGTCTTGATTTGCTGGTTGCTCGTCTCGGCCTGGCCCGACGTCTGTGGATGGTATGGGGTAGCCACCTTGTGTGAAATGCCATACTGCTTCATCAAATTCTCGAAAATACGGTTGCAAAAATGCTTCCCACCATCACTCACAATAGCCCGAGGAAATCCATACCTGCTTAGAAAATGTCCTCGCAAAAACTTGATGACCACATTAGCATCACATGTTCTTGTGGGGATTGCCTCAACCCATTTGGACACGTAATCTACAGCAAGTAATATATATATTCAAAACCACAAGATTTGGGAAATGATCCCATAAAATCAATGCCCCAAACATAAAAAATTTCAATCTGAAAATTGTTCACAAGGGGCATCTCATTTTTGGAACCAATGTTCCCAATTCGTTGACATCGGTCACAAGATTTGCAAAAAACGTGAGCGTCTTCAAACAAGGTCGGCCAGAATAGACCTGACTGAAGAACCTTGAAAGCAATCTTTCGACCACTAAAATGTCCCCCACACTGAAGCTCATGGCAGAAGGTTAAGACTCCCGGTTGCTCGTCATCGGGCACACATCTCCTAAGTAATTCATCTTTTTCGATCTTAAACAGAAAGGGCTCGTCCCAGAAGTAGCTCCTACAATTTAGAACAAAACGTTTTCTCTCTTGGGAAGAGAGGTTAGGCTGCACAATACCACAAGACAAATAATTCACAATATCCGCACACCAAAGGTTAGAAGTCACTTCATTCGCATGCTCGCATGGAAAATTATCATTAATAACATGATGCTCAAGCAAGGAATGAGAATGATCAGCCGGTATAATGCGGGACAAGTGATCAACTACAACATTTTCGGACCCTTTTCTATCCCGAATATCAACATCAAACTCTTGCAACAATAAAATCCACCGAATAAGCCTCGGCTTTGATTGAGTTTTATTCAAAAGATACTTTAAGGCTGCATTGTCTGAATGTATTATCACTTTAGACCCTAAAATATAGGATCTGAATTTTTCAAGAGAGAAAACCACAGGTAGAAGTTCTTTTTCGGTGGTCGTATAATTTAGTTGGGCTCCATTAAGTTTTTTTCCGGTGCAAATTATTACCAATCATTATCACCCATACTTTACATCCCCAAATATCAATTATTATGGTGCAAATTACACCAAATTATTTAAAAACAAAAGGAAAAAAAAAACACCCCATAAAAATATGTGCATGCATGTTTTTATACCCTCCAAAGTCCAATATAGCTGACAACCTTTTCACATTGAACAGTGAACACACTAGCTAATCTCTTTTGCTCGTCCTCCAAAGAAAACACCATCCAAGCATTACAGCTCAAACAAACTCCATATCCAAAAAGCTCCCACTAGAAAAAAGGCTTAAAAATCATGTCTTTTGATTCTTGAAATTACTTCCTAAACAAAAACATAAAAATCCTAAGAAAAAAAAAAAGGAAAAAAGAAAATGCAGGGGTCACCAAATGGCTCAAATCCCCTGTTTACTCTCCTAATTCTTGCCGGCCTAACATGCTGCAGCAACTATTTCACAACTCCGGCGGCCGGAAATACAGAGCTGAGGGCATTAATGGAGATCAAGTCATCTTTGGATCCGGCGAACAAGTGCCTGTCCTCGTGGGCCGCTTCCGGCGAGCCGTGCAGCGGCTCGTTTGTTGGGGTTGCTTGCAACGAGCACCGGAAAGTGGCCAACATCTCTCTGCAGGGGAAGGGGCTCGCCGGAAAGTTGACTCCGGCAGTGGCTGAGCTCAAGTGCCTATCGAGCCTTTACTTGCATTACAATTCTCTTCAGGGAGAGATTCCGGTGGAGATTTCGAATCTGACAGAGTTAACCGATCTTTATCTCAATTTCAATAACTTGACTGGGGCTATACCACCTGAGATTGGAAAAATGGCTAGTCTTCAAGGTCTCTCTTTATAGTATATTTTTCGTGAGCTACAGAAATTCAGTTTTCACTAGTTTAGAAATTGAAACTATCACAATCTGTAGCCAGTTTCTAATTTTCATTTCATTTCTTGAACTTTTTGCAGTGCTGCAGCTGAGTTACAACCAATTGACATGGAACATGCCTACACAAATGGGATCCTTAAAAAACCTGAACTTTCTTGCATTGGAAAGCAATAGGCTAACAGGGCAAATCCCTTCAGGCTTAGAAAATTTGAGGTCCTTGAAAAGCTTGCACTTGGGCTCCAATCAACTCTCAGGCCAAATTCCTTACACACTGGCCAATAACACCTCACTTGAACTCCTTGATGTCAAAAACAACAAACTTTCTGGACTCATCCCTCCTGGTTAGCCACCCATCTTCTTTAAAGTAGTAATGTTATCGTCGTTAAAGTTATCGACTTTTGCTCAATCCTGAAGGCCTGAAGAGAAGAAATATCGATTTCCAGTTCAAAAACAACTCGGGCTTATGTGGGCCGGGCTTCCCCATGCTCAGAGCTTGCAACTCGCTCGACAGCAACCTCGACCTCAACCTGAACTCCTTCCCATCCGGCCACACGGGTAATCCCAATCCTCAATCGGCTGCCTTCGCCATAGTCTGCAACGAGACCATCTGTTCGGAGACCCCATCAAAGCTTCCCAAGATCGGGCTCGTCTCGGGCCTAATCGCCACCTCGTTCAGGCTGGCGGTGGCCGCTGCCGTCGCTTTTTTCCGGCACCGCCACCAGAAACAGAAGGTCGGGGACAAATCCGACACGTCCAATGGGAACCAGCTCAGTAGCGTGGGCCCAACTTCACTCGATCGCTGCCGGAGCGTGTGGGGCCCACACAGAAGAGACTCGTTCAACCTCGAGGAGGTCGAGTCGGCCACGCAGCACTTCTCGGAGGCGAACCTTTTAGGGAAGAGTAAATTCTGTCGAGTCTATAAGGGGGTTCTGAAGGATGGGTTGATTATGGCTATTAAGTGTATTGGGAAGACGAGTTGCAAGTCGGAGGAGGAAGAGTTCTTGAGAGGGCTCAGCTTGCTGAATTCGCTCGAGCACGAGAATCTGGTGGAGCTCAAAGGGTTCTGTCGGTCCAAGGCTCGAGGGGAGTGCTTCTTGATTTACAATTTTGCCCCTGGAGGTAATTTGTCGAGCTATCTCGACCGGGATGAGGTTGTTGTGCTTGATTGGAAGACTAGGGTTTCTATCATCCATGGCATTGCTAAAGGTTGGTGTTTGTTTTGATCTCTAATCTTGTGCACAAATGTGTGTTTTTGAGTTTCAACAGTCTGCAAACATTTCTTTTTGTTTGTAGCTACAACTTACCAGTTTCTGGCATTTAAGTTGAATATAAAGTAAGTTAAATTGTTTCACCACTTAGTTTGGGCTATTTGTGAGTTCATTCTGGTGATTTTCAGAGTTGTGTTATGATGTCCTATCATTTGAAGTCTTTCCTAAGACCAATCTTCTTGTCTGAAGCAATTATTTAGCCCCTAAAAAGTCCACTGTCCTACAATTGAGTTGATGTATGCAGCACAACCACTTTTTTTGAGAGAATGGCACATGCATTCATGCATGAGCTTCAGACAAAGCAATTACTATAGCTTCTTCACCAAATGCCATAGAAAAGTTGCCATTAAATGTTTCATTTATGATCTGACATTTGCTTGGCCCATTGAAACAAAATATGCTTTCAACCATCAAGCTAGTAGATATGGTTAAATCCAAAAATTGCATCTGTGATTTAATTTTGGTGTTCCTAAAACCAGGTGTGCTGTATCTACACAGCAACGAGACGAACAAGCCACCGATCATCCACCAAAACCTCTCGGTCGCGAAAGTCCTGCTCGACCGAAACCTGAGCCCGTTGATTCTTGATGCGGGCCTTCACGGGCTTCTTGCAGACGATGTTGTCTACTCGGCTCTCAAAGTGAGTGCGGCATTAGGCTACATGGCCCCCGAGTACATCACTACAGGCCGGTTCACGGAAAAGAGTGGCGTGTATGCGTATGGAGTCATAATTTTCCAGTTATTGTGTGGCAAGACGATGCTCCCGGGGCCCACACGGGCAGCGGCTGAGGCCAGGAAACTGGAGGAGTTTATCGACCCAAAGCTCAAAGGTGAGTTTATGGAAATCGAGGCGCAACTGCTGACGAGGATTGCCTTGGACTGCACGAATGAGAATCCAGAGAGTATGCCGAGCATGGTGTCGGTAGTGCAGGAGCTGAAAAGCGGTATGAAGAGTGGCTAGACGATGATTGTATTGCGCATACATTGAAAATATTCAATCCCTACAATCTTAACTTAAAAATATGACCGAGAACTAGAATGCGAGATTTAATGGTGTTTGGCCGGAGCATGTAAATTAGTGAGAGATGCAGGGATGGACAGGACTTATGAAGATGGGAATGAACATTGAACTAGCAAAATGTTTAGTGGAATTCGTATTTCAGGTCCACTTACAACGTGCAATTAGATATTTTTTGTGAATTTATATGAATTTTCGAGCATCCTAAGGAAAAAGCTACAGTTTCTGTGTAGTTTGATCTCAATTTTCAACAAGCACAAAAAATGTCCACTCAGAATCCACAAATATGATTTACGAGCATAAAGCTTCGCGACATGCAACTATTTTCATTCACATGCACATAGTCAAAACAAAATCAACCGCATAATATGTAAAAATTGCACGATCAGAAGGGGAAAAAGTTTATTAATACCAAAATCAAGCTTTTTGTTCATGTTCAGAAGCTCCATTATTCTGAGGTGTAAAAAGAGGGTAATAGAGTCATACATAAGCTAAGCAATTTACACCCACTCAGGAGGCCACCATTTTGGCCTCATGGTCTCTACTTTGATATCTTCCTGACCTTTTACGATTAACGAGCCCAATCCTTTGAAAGCCTCATCCAAGCGGAGAAGGCCCAAACCACGAGATCCAAGTGCAGTTGTGACCATCCCAGCTTTCTTTTGGGAGGCCGTGTCAATCACTTCAGAACCAGGTGATACCTTTTGTTCAATCTCTAAATTAGATCAGACAAAAATGTCATATTATACTAAATACACCCAGAAAAATGTCACAAAGTAAATCAGAATAGAAGGGTTTGTACCTTTTCCACTATCATCCAAAAACCTCAAAGGGATTAGTCGTTTTCGTATTACTCCACGGTGATGTGTACGAGCAATGAGTTCTTGGCCAATGTAACATCCTTTATCAAAGCTAATAGCATTGAGACCAGCAAGATTGTACTCCAGGGGTATCGCCTCACCTGCATAAAAACGACACATTTATATTTATAAGTCACAATCGTCAGCATTGATCAGCCGATTAAAAGAGTAAATCTTGAGTATAAATCTTCCGGAGCTCAATCACTCGTTAATTCATCAAGCAAGCAGGATAGGTAGTCAAATCTTCAATGTTCTTGACTTGACCTGGATTTTTTATTTTATTTTTTTTCATACATATTGGTTCCAATCCGGACAATATGGAAGTAACATATGTTAAGTAAATAATGAGAAATAAATTAATTCTGCAACCTTCAGCTCGTAGAAAATGATTGTGAGATGTTCGCACATGAGGGTTATTTAACATGTGAACTACTGAGACTGATATCCAAATATGCAATTATGAAAGATACTAACCTCTTGGGATCTCAGCTGAGCCTTCAGCAACTCCCTTCTCTAATCTCCAGAGAAGATAATTTCCTTCATCAGTTTCTTTATCCACCTCAACGAGTGGAGCTGCACTAGATAGACATATATCAGAACACAATCGGCAGCATATTGTAATTGACTGGGTAAATTCAAAATCAAATGCAAGAAAGCAACCATTCATTTATTAACCATGTCACCAGACAAATGTGAACAAAAAATTAGTAATGTGAATGTGCAGTTACGAAACCTCTATTGCGATACATGATGTACAAAAAGGTAAAAGAATTAAGTAATGAAAATAATTACAATAATAATAATAAATAAGATAAAAACTGGAGCCCAGACTTAAGTATGTAAGATGGTTAACTAAACTTACGTGTATCATTGGATGGAAAGATGCCTCGAAATCCAAGACAAGCCAACCGTGGGTCCTTATTCCATTGCCAACCAAGATTATTTCCTTGTGAAGATGATATACCAGGACCATCAACAGTACCACCATAGCCAACAGAATTTGCTTCAGAGTCTTCCAATGATGAAGACTCACTTGCTATGTTCCTACCAAACCTTTGCCAGCAAGAGAAATCTTGTGCCACATTCTCAATCTCAACCTTAGATCTCAAACGGTATCTGCCAATATACAATTTGAAGACACAAAAATGATATATCATGTAATCACCGAAAGGGACTTTGCCAAAGTTTTACTCATGTGGAGTAAGACGAAAACTTTCATAGAAGAAATCCACAATGAATATCTTATCTAGATAAATGGCTCAACACATTTGCCGGAACATTACACAGTGAAAAGACAAAGTTTTTTACCTCTTCTATAAAGATGAGTAACTAGAACCATTGCTGTAAAAGGTTTCATCTAGCTCCGATTATATATCGCCTACATTTTTATCTGATTATATCCCACCTAGCACTATATAACTCCTGTGCCTAGCGATTTTTACAACAATAATTTTTAAGCATGCCATGCAAAAATTGTATTTCTACCTTAAAGAAAAATGCCCTTAGGCTTGACAAAGAGATTTACCAGACCAATTTGTCCAAAACCATTCATAAGCCCATGATTTCAGTTTCGGTGTAAGGTAGGCACACAAGCAGGGTAAACCTATTAGCAAGAAGCCTCATGTATGACTTAAAAACGGTCGTGGCTAAACTCTTCTTCAAATATACCAAAACTAGGATTTGCACCACAGCAATAAAAACAAAAAATTCATACAACAACGATTTAGAATATCTACAAGCATCAAATTCCAGTTGTTTAGCATTCATTTATAACTTTTACACAGAATATACGAGTACTTCATTTCACTGCTTCAAAATGGATCTATTTTATCTAGCCTTATGAATTTTATAAGTTCAATGCCCCCAAATCACACAACCTTCAAGTAGAACGAACAATTCAAATCATCTTCAAGTTTCAATGGTTTCAATTTAAAACAAAAACTTTAATGAAGTTTTCACCTTTTCAGAGTTGCCAAGAGCTCATCCATGACAGACCCATCAACGTCAGCGAAAATCTCGAGCTCATCCGAGTCGGGCCCCGGCCCAGAACCCGTCCGGTCCAGCTTCTCATCCAAACGGGGCGGCCTGTACAGAAAGAAATCGTATAGAAACCTCCCCTGTGGAGTCAACATTGCGGCGTACACCGGAGGAACCACAATCCCCGGCAAGTTGGGCGTCTTGCTTCTCTCGACATCGGTTTCCGGGTTGTCTAGACTCCTCACGTCGTTTGTCACGAGACCCTGGAGGAACTTGATGGTCTCGGGTCCCTTGAAGCGGATCACGGATCGGGTCTTGAGAAGGCATGCCATGGGGCCGGCGGACTCGAGAGGGGTCTGCGACTGCGAAGAGAAGAGCCTCCGGCAGCTGCAGACATTAAATTGGAGGCGGTGGAGGTGGGATTTCGCGGCGTACATGTCTTGAGTTTCTTCGTGGAGGAGAGTTTCCGATGGAATAGACGGAGCGGCGCGGTTTTACGGCGGTGGGCAAGGCTTGCCTTTATGGTTGTGGGTGGAGTGGGTGTGGGAGTGGTGCATGGGCATAGAGTGGTGGAGAAATCTTTGAACCTGCAAGAGCTTTAACTGAGGCATAATCAAGAAATGAGTTTCTCACATCTAACGACCCCAAACAAGGCACGTGCTTTGTGCCAATCATATGCCTCTGCAATACTAAATGCCCACCATCAGTTTGCAAGAAGGCAGAGCATCAAAACACAGGCATGGGCAATGCCCACCGTCAGTTTGCCAGAAGGCAGAGCATCAAAACACAGGCATGGGAAAGTCTTTGAATCGATAAAAGCAGAACCCACAACAGACACAGCCCCAACCATCCATTCTTTTTCCTTTATCAACGAACACAAAGATTCAATTTTTACCCCTCTAAAAAGATAAAGGGAAATAAGAAATTCAGCAAGAACCATTTTTATTACAAGATTCAAACTTTACTATTAGCTGACCAATATATACTTATCTGGGCCCAAGAAAATATGAGAAATATAAAGAGGGTTGTGTACTTGGATAAAAAGGGTGTTCAAATTCACAATGAAAGTTAAAGAAAGGAAGGAGGTGTGTGCATTTAATTAGGAGGGTGTAAAAAAGCTTACCAATGCTCGGCGGCGAACAGGTTTTAAGCACCAGAATACTTCATCGAGAAATTTTAAGTGAATAATCAGCACCCAAATACATCATGATATCCCAGAATTGAAGAAGCTTTTCTCAGAATTGTGATGGTTCATAGATGAAGATAAAAGATTCACCATTATATGCCAAGAAAGCAAAATCTATTTTTTTAAAAAACAAAAAAAAACCAAAAGCACAAGGAAATCATTTAATAATTACCATAAAAAAGAGTTCACGTGTAGATTCACATAGTATTGAAGTGATTATGTCGAGGTAATTGCAATTCAACCATGAATACAAGAAGTGTTGCTGGAATCAGAGCCGGTCCTGTAAATTATTAGGCCCTGGGCCAAAAATAAAAATAATGCCTCAAGTACTTTTTTTGTAAGAAATAAATTAATACATATTCAACATCCTTTTACAATAAAAATAAAACATAATTTATAGAATAATACAAACTCGACAAAGCTAAAGAATTATCATACTGCGCTATAGAATTACCAGTTTATCACTCAGGCAGTTAACAATATAACTTAAGTAGCATTACCACACATAATCTAAATCCTATAGTCTTACTCTTACCATACAGAATTATAAGCAAACAAATAAAATTATTAAATCATTAAATGGCCTTTTCAATCTTTTTCAATTCATTTGGAATCACTAAATCAGTACTGATGCTAAATCACTAAATCATTAAATGACCTTTCCAATCTTTTACAATTCTTTTGGATTCACAAGATCAGTACTGTACTGTTTTTCATTCAGTACTACTCAAGAATCACTAAGCTTTAAAATCTAAAGAAACGACTTATTAACAAATAATGTTCGGAAAAAGAAACGACTAATTATTAATTAACCACTCAAACTATTTAAAGTTTATGCTTCAAAATTTAAACTACTTTATTGTTTATTGTTTTACCATCGTTTCAACAATAATCCGAACAGAGTAGCCGTTGGTCTGGGC